CAGTAAAAATTCTTAATTTTGTCTATACACCTTAATTTAAAGATCAAATCGATAACCAATTTAGACACGTGATATAATACAGTTATTAATGTTACTACAGTAAATACGGATCATGGTCTAATGTGTAGGTCTTGTGTGTATTGTCAACACAATATAAACAAGGGGAGGGCTTTGGTTAATTCGGTGATGAAAGTTCGGGTTCCGTAAGCCATCTAGTTAGTTAGTTAGATATGCCCTGTCTTAGGTCTATATCAAGGTAATTTACGCTCTGACGTTAAGGATTGTTTAATTTTGCGAACGATGAAAGGAATGTACCTCGTAGGCATGTCATATTCCGGATTCTATCACACCGAAATACGTGTGGTTCAGTGGTTGGCTAACAACGCCTGGCTCGCTGAAGCGTACTAACGATGCACTATATCTGAAGGGTCTGCTGTGTTCCAGTGTATGAAACGATAAAACTATTGTAATTTTACGGCCGTGTGATTTATTACGTGCTACTTTCATATTTAATTAAATACTAATATATAAACAATATTGTATTCTAATTTATGAAAGATGTTCTATTTATTTCCACTTCAATCACGCCTTTCCTTAATGAACCAACATAATCAGCACATGTAAGGAAACAATTTAGTGATACTATTCAAACATCTTTAAAAGAACTCAAATGCTATCTTCGCCAGCAGCCACAGGAGTCAGGGTAGACCGTCTCTTCCCCTTACCCCGCCACAGTTAATTTACATCGACTGCAAACAACTTCAAACTACTCTCATGACCTCACCAAGATCAACATTATCACAAATTGAATTCGATTTTTGGATCTTAAATTTGTGTGACGTCACAGTCAACCTCGCCCGCTCGCTAGAGAGAGAGAGAGAGAGAGAGAGAGAGAGAGAGAGATTTTCTGGTCGGCTGAATGTGGAGAGGGGTGCAGAGGGGAAGCACTTCAGTCAGATATGGAAAATAACCGACCGGCCTTGTCTACGTCTTTAATTATTTTGAGAGCAAAATACACTTCAAGCTTCCTACAATAAATTCTCTCATCCAACATTGCAGTTAGACTGGAAAAGCTTTCATTTTAATATTTTCTGCTGTTAATACAAAATTAAAAGAAAGATAAATATTTTTTATTTGATGCTGAACTAGTACTGAATGTGTAATTCCTGAGATAGAGGCACGTATGAAAAATAAACAGAGTTGCTTTTCGGAATTTAACACAGGGAAACTAACAATATCATAATTATTTCTTAATCCGTGTATATTTTGATATTACTGTATCAAATACAGTTTTGGGCTAAAGACACAGGAAGTAACTGGAATATGGATAAAATTACATAATAATGATATTAATTATTATTAGGGTGATAAATTAAGATAACAAATGCAGACACAATGTCAAGACGTTGGGACAGATATTTACCAATAGGCTTTAATTAAATAATGAGAATGAAAATGACGAGTAATGTAACACGTATAGGGAAAATGAAAAATGCATAAACAGTTTCATTAACCAGAAAACCAGGAAGACAGAGGCCAATTTTAAGACCTATGCAAAGTTGTTTTAAAATTAATTTTAAAACTGGCGTAAGAATATGGTGACGGCCCATTATCGAGCTCTTGTTGTCAAGGTAATGAACCAACGGGTTCTATAAGAAACGGGGATTTTTTTAGCTAGCTATGCGATTATCAGTTTCACAAGCATGACTCCGCTTCGTGCAGTTAGGCCTAATGAGTTAACACATTAAAATGTAAGTTTTATAAAGTGCCCCCAGAATCTTGTTAAAGTAATTAGTTCCACATGCCCAGTGCAACAGCTTACAGCAGAAAGAACGTGCTTCATAATCTCGACCCAGTATGAAATATTTCCTGTAACATTGTTAACACTACGTCTGTTGAGAAGAACGCATTACTTCAACCAGTAGGTTAAAACACAAAACAAAATATCGAATACAAGCAGTTGGAAGTTTACAGCGCTGACTCGGATATAATCACGTAGCAATAAAATGATTACGTTTTATAAAAGACCTTTTCAGATCACAGTTTTAAACATACGAAGGTATACAAAGCATTGATACTATAGAAAAATGATGGAAAATGTAACCATTGAACCGAGCTTCAAAAAACACACGAATCTTTTTAATCGTTTAACATTCAACAAGTCTGTATTTTGCCCACAGGTCTTATTTATTGATTTTCGAATGTTTTTCATATTAAATAAACTGAGACTATTTTTATAAAGAGCATTAAACGACTTATCTTTGTTAAAGAGATGTGTTGTGGTTTCTTTGAGGTACTAAGTAAAGTTTTATATATTACTGAGATGAACGTTAACTTAAGAATGTTAGAGATATGCCTTTATAACCTGACATCGATGCTTGTTACCTCGTTTTGACTTAACAGAATACGATATAAAACAGTTATGGATAACAAATTATTTAAAATACCAGAATATACACATATAATTCTTACTACAACTACGAAATGGTTCCGATCTTTGAATTCGTCTTGATTAATACGTTATAGGTCAGTAACTGTAACAACTCAGTACATCTAAATGTTAAATAAGTAAGCATTACGTGTATCAATCAACAACAAGGACTCATTAGTATGAGTACCGACCTAGAGGTCCTGAGTGTAAGCAGGCACCACTGTATATAGTCAACAGTTGATAGGAAAATGGCTGCCCCGTCATGTTTCGCCATGTAGTGTGGTAGAAATTGGTGACAATGTACCAATACAGCTGTTTGCCTCCATCATCGAAGTATGTTCTTATTTGACTTCATACTTTCGGAAGATCCGAAGATCAGAACAAAGTTTAAAGTTTCGGAGACCAATTTTGATTCCATCATCAGAAAATGATGTAATTTTCTCCAAACTGTACGACAATCGTCTGAATTGTTTCTATCATGTAATGATGGAGGCAGCAAGCTCCTCTGAAACGTCGGCGAACACAGTGCGTCCCATACGACACTCAGATTTATTCTCGTTGCCGTGAGAACCTCAAGTATTACCAAGAGCTTACGTGTTTCTCATAAGAGCCAACAGAGAAATGAATGGTTTAGAAATAAACGTTTGAAAACAGCATCTGGCAGCTCATTCAAATGAACAGCGTTAGTATAAATCTGTTTTGCACTATAAATTGGTTACGTCATTTATCAACGAGACCTGAAACGATCAGAAAAAGTACAACAACAACAACAAAAAAAACACTATAAGAAAAGATTTCTTACAGGATTCACATAATGCAACTCAAATTAATTGACGATTGAACGAAATCTATTAACAGCTTAACTTAAATTCACAAACTTATTACGAAATAACACAGACCATTGGCAAACTTCACATCACTTACTACGACAACGCGTATAACAAAAATTAAGGTTCCAGGTACCATTTTATTGAAGAACTTGATACGAAGTAAACCTGAAAATCTTATGTTAAAGAAAATGAATCGATTAGCGTTATTTGAATTCAGTGTTACTGGGATAAGTAAGAGGAAAGTTTTTAAGTGAGTAAAATATGCTGGTGCCAAAGTGCACGGCAGGTAGCCTACTTAAAGAAGCGTACGAGAAACAGGAGCAACTTCATTCTACCCTAAGAGATCAAGGAGTGATTAAAACAGATAGGTCTGTAAGTATTAAAGGTGCTTATATCTAGGTGTATGGAAAGTATTTTAATTTCAACATTCGGAAAGTGCTTTCTTGTAAATGTACGTGTGGTGTTATTCAGTCTTCACCCCAATTACAATTCTGAATTAAGTAGGAGCTTTCGGGGCAGGACACAAACGTAGGCGTACTTACATACAGCATTTGCTCTGAGAAAATATGCAATGTCAATTTCAAATTATTTAATATACTTACTAACTACATAAGAAGTTACAATTTTAAAAAGTGTTTAAATTGTGATATAAATATTTTAGTTTTGTTTTAAATCAATTTAAATGAACTGCTCAGTTTATTATTAGAATATTTCTCAAAGTTTCGTAATTTCTTTATTCACTTATTCTCAAAACAAATGCTGAATGTATATGTGTGTGTTTGATTGCAACACTACATACACAATTACAACTGCCAAAGCAAGATCTAGTGTTTAAGAAATGTTCCAAAACACCGATAAATTCAACTATAAACTTATGTTACAGAGATTATAGTCTATTTTAAACTTTGTGTCCGAAGATGAAAATACATATGCTATTCAATTGAATAATCTCTTACATGAGCCTGAAGTTTATGCGACACACGACTGCAAACTAAATTTTTTATATTGTTTGTCCAATCTTTTAAGTTTCGCAATACTAAAATAATCCAAAATCACTATTCCAAAACTCAAGCTCATAATATCTCATTACTCATAACGAAGGAAATACCTTTAAGGTACGAGTAATGTCAAATATTCCACGAGGAACGGACGTAATATTACACATATGATGAATTATATAATTACAAAAATTATTGATACAAATGGTATCTTTTGGTGACATAACCAGGAATAAATGAAGACATTTTGTTATTATTCTCCTTAATTGTGTCATATATTTTTAAGGTAACAACACTTAAAAGCACCAAAATAATAAACATTAAAATAAAATACAACTTAATTTTTAAAGAGTCTAGAACATTTCTCTAAACTTCTTTCAAGATAATTTATAAACAGTCAAGAAATTTTTATTGATATTTTTATTATGGTTCCAGGCACTACGTAGTCACAAAGATGACTACCAACGTTTCGAAGTAAGTTCTGTCTCAATATTTAAAGATGAATTGCAAATTGAGGTAGCAAGATTCTTTAAAACACTAATAACGGCCTATTCCTTGATATGAAGGCAGCAGGTTCATTCAACACTTCGGAGACAACCCAAACGTAAGAAGGCGCGTAAACTTCAGATCCCGAAGAGACAGCGTAATTTTTCAACGGTGCATTAATTGTGACTGCTTTGGCAGGTGCAATGGCTGTCTAGTGCCTTAAGGAAGGCAAGCACTGTGATTGGTTGTACTTACGTCCTGTAAGTTGGTGCATAAGAGACGGGTGCGTGGTGGCTGCAGTTGCTTGCTGCTTAGGCTTGCTAACCTTCGTGTTACTTTTGGCAAACTCCAGGCGGATCGTTTGGGGCATGTCGGGGTCGAACCTGACGCCCTGCTGCAAAAAAATTGAAAAAAGGGGGGAGGGGAAAAGAGAGAAAAAATGGAACACTTAACAAACACAAGAAAAATAATTACAAAAAATTTGTTCATGTTATAAAATTATTTGTTTTTTGTGGATATCTTTTGTTCAGTCAGACTGATAGAGGAAGTGCGCATGTGTGGAACAGACTAAGAAGATTATGTCTGAACAGTGTGAGTAGTTGTATAGTTGCAACCCAGTTAATATATTTTAAGATATTTAAGTCATTCCGGAATAATATCATTTATCAGTGTCTCAAAGATTTTGTTTGCAGCCGCTATAACGTGGCTAGTTATTTTATTTCAGTTTCAAAATTAATTTTAACATTTTTAATAAAAATAGAAGCAACATATAATTTATTATATTTACTTCAAGAGAAAATAATCAAGATATATGTAATTATGCGTCTCAATCGTAATTATTATTGTACGTATTTTTTATTTTCAAGCCACTCTGCATTAAAATCGAATGAAAACATAATGTACGCACGCCTTCTGTATTTTGCCAATTATTTTATAGTTTCGAATTTAGATTGATTTGTGTACCCACCATTAAAACACACGACTATGAAACCTAGTTTGAATAAGTATCACAGAAATTAAAGTAATTTGATAAGAATTCATACAGGACAAAAGTACACTCGCAAGTCAATACTTTCCGTAAGCCCTTCAGAATTTTTAGCCGAGATCATATTTTTCAGATTTGCAAAATATCTCTACGACTTATTACAAAAACATGTTCATTAATCATCTGAACAAGAGTACGTTTGAACTTCAGCGTAGTCTACTCTTTTACAAACGTGTATAAATATCAACATCAAGATCAACAATTACCTGTAACCATTATATGTGCAATTATCGCAGTGACTTTTCTCATTTCTATAAAAAAGAAGAAAATACATTTCCATATCTGAGAAATCGCAAACCCGAAAGCAAAGTCACGGAGAATCTAGACGATTTCATTATTTTAAAACAGACAACATATTTACTTAACGCTGGGCTGTTTTAGAGTTTGAAGGCGAACATACATTAGTCAAGCACTCAGTTTGTAGGAAATAAATGACTATGATTGTAACTTATATTGACATTTCTGCGTAACAAAATAAATCTGTACTAGACCAAATAAATATGAATGTTATCATTGTCTTTAAACACTATTTGTACTTTTAGAATATGAGTGATCATTCATTTAATTTGTTTTATTTTATAATCGTAATAAAATATTAGCATAGACCTCGTGAGCTTGGGCACTGGGACCGTGGGTTCGAATCCCACTTAAAGCGTGGATGTTTGTCCGCGTCTTTCTGTGTAGGTAGAGGCCGGTTTCTCACGACGAGGTTTGGGGTTCAGTCCCAGGTGACTAAGTGAAATTCTTGTGACTTTGGTACAAGCTTTTCTCTGATTTCTTTTATCTTCCCCCGATAATAATCATTCGTACACACTTGCCAACCATCGCCAAAAAAATGCGCTATAGCACTGACCAAGCAGATCATTATTATATCTTCGGACCTAAGTTACGGGTTTCATTTCCGGTCCGGAGCTTGGCTGGCCTCGGAATAAAAGTACTTTCATTATTTAACATCTGTTTGTATTTATTACATTTTAAACGGCGTATGTATATTTTAATTAAAATATTTATTGGTCGGTACAGATTTATTCCTGTCAAACAGAAACGTATAGATTCACGACTCTGACTTGCTGTTTTTGTGATGTCTGTATGCTGACTGTAGTGTGGGTTATTTCAATCTATTCAAAGTGGTGCTAGTGAAATGGTGCTGAAAACCGTGTTTAGTGATATTTATTTATATATAATATATCCATGCAATAAGTCCATTTACTGGAGTTCTTTTAAACTACATACTACGAAAAGCAGTATTATTGCATATAACTAACTATACATATCTAATCAGCTGATAGCAATCCATCTTACATTCCACCAGATTAAATACTCTTGAAGCATTGAGAATGTAAAACAGGTCTAAGAATTCAACAACATTACTTAATTTACTGTATTTTTATACACATGGAGAAATACAAGCAGGGCGAGAATGTGGTATGGAATATTTGTTCCTGTAAACATTAAATTTTCTTAAAGGTCGCTTTAACAAAAATATAAGAAAATTAAATTTTTGACCTTATAAGTATTGAAAGGCATCGATGAAATGAATTTCCAATATTTCAGAAAAAATGTTTCACTGTAATTTCTTTCGTGCGCCTCTAAGTTAGGACAAAGAAACTGACGTCTTCTAAATACTCGTCTTGAAATTAATAATAATTCTATAACGATCGCAGAAAGACACAACTTTGTGTACAATAATCTAGACTAAAGTAATAAAGTGACAATTTTCTTTTATAATTATTAATAGAATTTGAAGCCAAACGCCAGAATGATTTTATTGACCATAATTCTTTGCTCAAATGACTAGTTAACGAAATGAAGTTTTTTTCCTAGAAGTTGTGTATGTGAAAACCACAGACTGGGAATTCTGTTTTGGTTTGTTGGGTATTTATGATTAATTTTCAAGAAAATTCATTCAATATACTGAAAATTCAGATAAACAATTTCTGTCTCATACACTCAAATTATTTATTTTTAAAAATTTAATCATTAATTGCAATGACACAATAATCTCTTAATGGAAATGTACTCGGGCTGCTGTTAGCATTTCCCACTTTCACGACTAAAAAAATTATTGAAGTTCAGCAAAGAGTATTAGGGGAGTTAAAATAGAGAAATATAAATTAATTTATATAACTTAATTATTCTGTTGAACTTCATTCATCGCCTTACTCGTTTACAAACCACAACGTTTCGGAAATTACATTTAATTTTATCTTCAGTGACTGGCGAGAGGACAAAGGCGTACTCTGTTGATTCCCCAGATAAAGCCAGTCTCAACACGGACAATACAACATTTCTGAAACGCTGTGGTACATAAATAATTAGACTGTGAATAATGCCCGACGGAATAATTATACACACGAGTTGCAACATAGATAACGTTAAACTTCGACTGAGTTAATTTAACGTATTTTTTAGCTCACGGTTGTGGACATAACGTCTTGAACGAGATGTACTATGACGGATTTACGCACAACTTAGTTAACGAAATCCAAGACAGACGTTAAGATATCAATAACGCCGAAACGTCTGTGCTAGCGACTGACCATTCAAAACAAGACACTCAGTTGGTTTCGGGAATACGAGAAGCTGAAAGAACGAATGTTTTAGGTATGCAAATATTAATTATTGTAAAAGCATACCTTTTTCATGAAGGCCAAGAGCGTATTTTGTGGTCACAGTTTAGAAATATCTTCATTTATATTTACAGTTTAATTTTGTTGTATTGTACTTTGTTAATTCTGAGATATTTAATTATATATAAAGGATTTTAGAGAATCAACACTTTTATGTAAACGTTACCACGTCAACTCAGACTGATAGCTTTTTCATAATGTCAGATTATAAAGAACCATGGTATGTATAAGCCGATTTTTTGTCTCACAAACACTCCTCATTATACGACTCATGAAATTCACATTTTAGAATACCAATGACTATAACACGATGACATTGCGTTATTATATTCAACGACTTCTGTTCCTGTAAGATAAATTAATACCTCGATATTCCTAACGTCGTATTTGCCTATTGCAACTATGTTCCTTCCACGCGAAGAATGTCTCAGGTTTGTCACTCAAGACTGAATCTCTTGTCGCTTTGTCAGCGGCCTATAACTTGCCCCACGACGTGACTGGAATTAACAATTTTATATCACAAGAAAAAAGTATTTTTATGCTACATATGGATCAGTTTGTAAAGTGTGGATCAAAATAACCTAGCGTTAAACTCAGTTTAGTTCTCATTTCTTTACTGAAAACATGCGAAAAGAGAAAAATTTTGCCTTCCGATTAAATTTAAATTGTTTACGTTGCGTCCTTATACTACATACCACATGCGTGATTATTTTGAGTTTCGATGCTGACAGGCGTTTTCCGTACTGACAATTCTTTAGCTGTGCTGTTTGATGTCTGAATTTTTGGTGCCAATTTAATACAGATTAACATAAATTCAAATGTGTAATTTTTAGAAAAATATCACTGACAGCTTCAAAAAAGAAAAGTTAGTCTTTGTTTAATTCAAAAAGACTGACAAACGACATAAATTAATAATAGTTCCGGAGGTGTCTCTCCAAAAGGTACATTTTTGTATTTATCTTTCAACAGAGTCGTTGCGGGACTTTGAACACCCCTGTGCCTAATTTCCGAATAAAAATCAACAATTTGACTAGTGTTGACCCACCAAAGCGAACATTTCTTATCTATAATAATTTATACGATGCGCTGTTTGTTACAAATTAGGTGGGATTGACGTATTTTGTTTATTAGAGCATACACAGTAGAACTGTAAATTAATTTCTGTTGGCGAGAAGTGATTTATGCGCTCAGTACCGTGTTATATTTTTCATGCTTAATCGTAACTGTCTGAGTGAGCCTCATCAATGTAGGACATTCTCGTATCAGAAATGATTTTGTAAGCCTCTCTGTGCTTATCGGTTTGAGTTGACGGCAGTACGTCGTTGCCCAATCGGACTGCTGCACGCACCTGCAGATCCTGCTTCGCTGCTTCCGCTCCTGCACGCGTGTTGAATGTCACAAATCCCACGGGCTGCAAACAAACAAACAAACAAACACACTAACAAATACCCAATGGCAGGTCAGACATTTTCAACCCAAATTACTCCGCGGGGCAGGGGTCTTCCTTAAGAAGTAAATTGTCTCTCAGTTACCAGAAGGTCCAAGAGCTCACTTTCATGAGCCCGCCTGTTACTCTTATCCTGAACCACTTTAATCCACTCCTCAAGTCCTCGTATTTTAAGATAAATATAAATATTTCACCCATCCATGCCCACGTCTCTCACGTAATTATTCTTTTCAAAAATTCCGACTAAAATACTGTACGCGTATCTCACCTTCACCCTCGACCAATCTCATCCTCCTTGAACTCACTACCCTTTTAATATTTAGATGGAAACTACTTATAATAATAATAATAACAACAAACTTAATGGGGCTAATAGCAAAGCGTACTTTACTCAGATAAAAATGCTGTGTGCAGAAGCAGTAATACCAAAACACTCACTGATGCTGTTTTGCCATTCTTGCTTGTTACTTTCAGCAACGATCCCTCGTAACCCTGTAAAGAAAGAGACAGCAAGAATTAAACAAGCACATCGAACATTTTATCCATAAACATAAGACTTTATTTACGTTTAGAATTATCAGAACATCCAATAGCATTTATTATACAAAGCAGATTCATAAGTAATAACCTTACCCCTTCCAGCCATACAAAAAATCTTCGCATTTTTACCTAAATTTTCTAGGTTTACGTGAATTGTAATTTTTTAATGAATATGTAGTCTGTGGCCCATACTTATGTACTTAAACTCATAATCGTCTTAAAAACCAACCAACTAGGATTATGTGACAGTAGGCAGAGGTCAAGCTGTCTTTATGCATAAGCCCCACTCCATGAAAGGCAAACTCATTTCAAAACCTCGAGAACGATTTTTAGGGGATTGTCACAGAAAGATAAGTTATGAGGATCGGAGTAAGATGGAAATGGATCAGGATAAATAATATTAGCAGTGTCTAATCTTTAGGTTTCACTCTACCCATACTTAAGACTAATGATATGCAACTATAAATGAATTCTGTGTCCTCTAAGACCGGGTATATCGTAATTGTTTAATTTTATTCCGAAAAACTTTTATTCATTATTTATGGTACATATTAGACAGACAAATGTCAGTCCTAATGGCCTATCATCGATGTTTCATGTAGCTTAACGATCAGATCACTGATTATTGTTCTTATTTATTTCGCAAAGTTTGGTATTGCATTAAGCATTGGTTTCTTCCTTACAAATCATGTAATATTTATGTTGTACGTTACTATATCACCTTTTAATTTAATTTATGGAAGACGACAATCTCTCTAAGGTCGAATGTTGGTTGGTAATAATTTATCCATGGCCTACTATGTACTGCACATTCATTGCTAACCAACGCAGCACAGTTATTCCGAAAATTTAACAAAATATCTGAGATTCAGATACATTAAGTCGTATTATTTTTTTAATTTAAATTCTTTATTACTCATCACTAAATTTTAATTCTTGGGAATCTGTGGAAACAAATAACTGAAGCAAAAGACAGTTCACTTATCCACGTATTTCTGTACATGCATTTCTATACAACACAGGCACGTAATTATTTGTACATGCTGCTTTGTCACACTTCAGCAAAAACATGTATTTTGCGTACGAATGTATAATTTCCAGTCAATCTTAACGGACAATTTTATAGTTAAATATAACAGGAAAAGTACAACACCATATTCCAACATCTCTATACAACATAGTCCTTGATTAGAAATTGACAACTGCTCTGTTAGCAAAGAAATTTCCCGCATATTGTGGAACCGACAGGGTCATTACAGTGTTCTCAAAGGCCAACAGTGGGCGACATCCTGTGGCTGCTGAATTAGACGCACACTCTCTGTGTAACTAACAAATCTATAAAGTCAGAGCGGCATAATAGCAGCACCAATCAGTGAGCTTGTTTCAATGAACAAACGGGGTAAATTCGATCGCACTTTTGACTTAAACAGAGCGTTAAATTAGCAGCTAGCATACCCGTAGTTCGAGCTGTCAACAGACAGACGCGATTAACGGGGAGGGGAACGCGCTGCTGCAAACCCTTCACTTCCTTAGCGTTAAAGGGCTTTAGGGCACGATGTGCTATCTGTTCTCCTTTTATTTACTTATTTATCGTTAACAAGTTACCCGTTTAACGTTTGGTTTCCCTCTCACCTCTCTGTTTTAGTGTCAGTTATAATAAACCCACAGTATATTATAACCTAACAAGGAACAAACTGTATCATAAAAAAATGTTCTTCGTTTGTGGAGAAACAAATATTTTGGACCTGATATGTAATAAGTCAGCAGTTTAGGATGCTACATAATGACAAACTTCGTAATCTATACAGATAACCTAATAGACCCTATTTTAATAAAAGTTAGACGTAAAAGGATAAGTTGGGTTTAGTGTGTACATAGCACTGAGTACAGACTAATGCATATATAATTTTAACGTGGGAACCTCTTTGAAAAACAAAGACTTCAAAATCCGAGAAGATGGAATTATAACTTTAAAATAAATATTATAAAAATATGTTATGAGGATGGAAGGTGTATGGAACTGGTTCAGGGCTGTGAATAATTACGTCATATGAAGTGTCAAGGTTGTCTGTCGTCTAATAAGGTAAGACGACTTATAAATGATGAATTGATGGTCACGGTTTTCTTTGCTGTACCATCCGAATATTTTTCGTCGGGAATGAAATAAATCACGAAACATCTCTCGGCTAACATCGGAGCTGGGGATAATCTCCCCGAGCATGAGACAAGAGCTCAAACCGCTACCCCACAATCATCGGTGGGTGAAATTATAAGGACGTTGTCGAAATATGTACAGATGGATGTTACCCCAAGTTCATATCTTGTTATTCAAGAATCAGAAAAAATATTCATATTTAATGAGAACTGGGAAAACTCATATGTATATTCCATCCTGGCTATAATTTTATGAGACCCATAGAAGATGAGAAAGAGGAAACGTGTAAGAGGCAAAGGAAAATTTGAAAGGCACAGAAAACATGATAAGTTACCCGTCAACCCACATTTCTTCGTTCTCTAGTTGATCATATTTTTTTCATCACATGGCAACTTCAATACTGGATGACGCTTCACAAAGATTCTTTCCGTTTCATTCAGCGAAAAACCGTGATACAGAGACGGCTTTAGATCGAGTTAAGGCGGAGCGCGAGACGTGTTATCCAAGTTTACGTGTCGAATTATTTCAGTGCTTCAAACCTGACAGATAGGCTACACGTTTTATGTTTATAACATGTCGTAATTACGAAACATTTGAAAATAAAAGACGAGTGTGACGAGAAATATTTAATAACGAAACGACAAGTATTTAATCCATCTAACCGCTTATAAGTAAAGAGTTATTAAAAAACTCATAATCACTCAGTTGGTCAACAAATTTTAGGCTTTTTTTTATAGAATCTGAAAGTTCATTATCGTGTTCACAAAACACTGTCATTGGACGAGTCCAGTCCACACACAAATTTCTTAATGTTAACGGTATATAAATTTCTAGGAACTGAAATCTTAAATAAGTGAGCAAATATGACGAAGTAGTCAGTGATTTATACAGGTCGTCCACTAGTTTTAGGATACTAAAATAAAACAAGTTTAAATGAGCGGGGTACTTGGTCCACACGTAAATGGAAATAAATAAATAAATAAATTGTTTTGTTCAGGAAACTAGACTCTTGGAATATGGAGAAGCAAAATTGTGGATTACATTAAGATGGATGTTAAAAATAAAATGCGAGCATCGGAGATTGATGTAACTATCTTGCGATCTTGTCCAGAGGCGAGTTTGTGTATTAGAGGCAATATTTCGTAAAAAGTGACACAAACGAAGCAGACCCACGGTCTAAACAGACATCAATCATGGAACAGGTTCGCCATTTTGGCTCAACGCATAACGCTAGCTGGAGTGTCTTGTCTGTGGTTAATCAATCGTCAAAGGAAGTGACCTAAATTTCTGATTTACTGGAGAAGCAATTATTTGTGTTTAAGCACTCAAGTTCTCTTACTGAAGCAGTTTTGGAAAGACTACATTCCATTTAATGTCCCTTGATGTTTCAAGGTAGCCCATGTTTGCTTTCATCGAGTCTAATTATACACACAGATAAATATTCAGTAATGAGGTCTAACGTAAGTATAAAGTGCATAAAGACGTCATGACGTACCTATTTGTTTTGCGGGCTTGTTTATATTCAATTATGAAATTGTCTAGTTGCAGAAAGTGTGTGCTCATGACCTACTTTATTCAAGTAGTATGGCAGACAGACTGTTTGTGACATTACTGACGTCTACAGCATCTGAATAGAGCTAAAGTTCGTCTTTTGTTGCTTTTTAAGCCTTCTGATGAACGATGCTATAAAAAGATAAAATAAGATACTTACTTTCAACGAAAAGAGCAAAAAATGTGTCTGAGATCCCTTTTCCAACAGAAGGATTGTCATAAAAACACATTACATTGTTTGACAACAATAGTTTCCTTTTACTTTCTCCCGTCATCCTCCTTTCATTCCGAAAAGTAGGCCGACTGCCCTGTTATATTTATACCGTGGGGACAGTGGCGTAGACTCATCTGAGACGTGTCTTGTTTCCACAAGCAATAGCACCAAACTCTGGTCCATCGCTGTACAGATAAGGAGTTTTGGGGATAACTAATAAAGGCAACTTCCTCTATAGAATTTCATAGAGACTTCTGATCCGTGATTTCGTCAACATTTTATATTCAGAGATATTTTAATTCCCATTTAACTTAACGTTCCAGTTCTTGTTTTGTGTTAATAATAGAACACTTAGGTAATGAAAATTTATAAATCAACGGCAGAATGTCATTTACCTTAAGAATTTACCTTGCTGGGCTTCTGGGTGGATGGAAAATATGTAATTATAATGAAAGCATATTATTTCATTTGACTTATAAATATTAGGCCTACATACAGTGCAATTTTATTAAAATCTATATATACTTTGAAAACATATTCTGAGTATGTTAAAAAAATTTCCACATATTTTGTCACGGTCAGCGTGTGATATTTGTTGAAATTTTTACGATCCATCCTAAAACAGCTTTCATAATCGTACATCCAGTGGTTAATAGTAAATTAATATCTCACGGATATTTTCATTTCAGAGTATAAGACAAATTTCATTCACAGTTTTCGAAATATTATCAGCTGTACCGAATACTGATTGGAAAATTTCTTGATAAATGCCAGCTGAAGATCCAGAAAAATATACGGATAATTTTAAAATTTAGAGTAGAAGCTAGGTTTAGAGGGTACGATCAATTTAACTGGTATTGCTGCTGGTGGAACTTTGGGTTCTGCTACCAGTGTTATGTTCAAGTGAAAACAGAAGATGACGTTGGTGTACACATCAAATAAAAATGCAAATTCGTATAAACATGGTACACAATTAATGATCACAGACCCTAAGAACAAACCTTAAGGCCACAGGTCATAGCTTATTACTCACCTCATAAGCCCTGAAGAGAAGATAAAGCTCTCTGGGTTTCGCATCCATTGGCAGGCCACTGACGAACAGAGTTCGGACCTGAAAGAAAACAATTTGATTTTATTGCTTCATCCAGAGTGTAGTGATATTCAGACAAACCATTCATATATGTCACAACGGCCATACAGATTTCAGCTCACAGCTATAAAGAGCAGGAAACAAAATAAAAAAAATACTTGACACTAATTGGATCGGCGGTATAATACGGATATCCTTCACATCAAATTGGCTTCATGGCTGAAGTTAAAATATTACACCAATACACGTAGGGAGTGATTTCAAACAAACCCGTATTAGTAATATACATGATACAGCAGTGAGAAAATTCTATCATATTTCCATAAAAATTGTTGTAAGTGTAGAATTGACAACCGAGAAATGGGTTTGTCTCTTTGTTTGTTTTACATGCAGAGTTTCATTTCAAAAACGTTTTTTTTAAAATTACGTTCATGGCACCTAACAATTAAAACAATCACAGATAAATCAGTTTAAAATGTTTACACATGGCGTTATGTTACCGTGTTCACAGAAGTCCGACACATGGCCCTATCTTGAGCCATATGAATTTACAACATTTCCTCCGATTGCTTCTGTAAGATGCATTTTAATATTATCCTTCAAGCTAAGATTAGATCTTAAAACAGTCTCTTCCCTTCAGGTTTAGCGACAAAAATTTTGTATTCTTCATCTACTGGTGCATGTTACATGTTCTTCCATCTCACCATTCTTGATTTGATAACCAATATTTAGTGAAGAACACAAGTAATGAACGCCTAAATGTTTTCCTCAGGACACCCTTGTCAAATATCTTCAGTCTATGTCCTTTTCTTAATATAAGAGACAAAGATCCCCCACCCTGAAAAACAAGAAATAAAATCACAGTTTTGCATGTTAATCCACGCGTTTTTAGACAGAGAACGGAAGGATAAAATATTGTAAACTAAACGGTAGCAAGCATTACCCGAATTTAACGTACTTCTTATTTATTCTGGAATTAAAATAAGATTTGTTAATATCTTTTCAAAATATTTTAACTTTGTTTTTTAAAAAAAATACGATTATAATGAGTCCCAAATGGAAAGTAGAACCAGAACTTCTCGGAGTACGCTACTGATATTACGTCACGAACAGGCACGCGGAATAACACGGAATTCCCACAAAGCACTCACGGGCATGCTGCACGAAAAGTAGGACAAAAAAGAGGTTGTTTGTAAACTTGTAACAAACACCCGCAGAGGAATTATGCAGCCTCAACAACAGACATGCGAATCTGCATTGCAACTGTCATGACGAAAACGATAAGACACTCAGCAAAAAATGTGTAGTATTTTACAGCAATCGAAAAACTTTCTCATACTTCAACTGTATTAATTTATAGTATTCGAAAACTCGGATTACAATTACGATAGAGCGAGCAAATTTTGAATCGAAATACAAAACAATTCTTCTTAGGTTGTTTCTTGTTTGAGTGTCAGTGGGTTTAGAGGCGTATCAGCATGTAACTATTTGTGCATGTATAGAACTTAATTTGACTTTCAGATCTTATAACCGGGGCCCGAAAATGCGCTTAAAATGAAGAAACAAAATTATTACGTAACTTGTCTTATAGTACGAAAGAATTTCAGATAAATCTATTGTCGCTTCACTAAAAAACAGTTCTGTAGACTTTCCAACATTCAAAAGAAACTAGTGCCTACATAGAAACAGCGTAGCAATTATTAGCATGAAAATGCACGCCTACTATATATATATAGTATGTCTATTTGCATACAATTCGAGGGATATCGCATCATCTGAGCGACTATCGGCTTCTTCTTCAAATGCGTTTTGAATTTCTGGTAGAATCGCTATCAGTTTCCCAGAATGGTGACGTCAGCCACACAAGGTGTTTGCCCACATCTATCATTTTAATAAATATCCAAAATACAAGTTTTAAGATTTCAGTAACGAATAAACTGGTATTTAATTACTGGCATTTCGTGTCTAATTTGGAGTGATAACTACCATCATGTGACATCTACTGTGTTAATAATTCAAATTTTTATATTTCTACACGAACAATAATTAGAATCATATACGAGGTAACAAGGCATCTGTTTACAAAGTTAAAAAAACATAACTCTTTCCTATTAACTACTATATGTGATGCAATACGTTTCCAGAAGCTACTTATCTCCCATTGTTGCTGATATTAGTACAAATGCCGCAGGTGAGTCGTGGGACGCCATTGGAAACGACACTGGAAAACAACGTCGGGCGTCGCGACGCCAAACCGCCGTAATACAACATATTTACACAAATGGAGCTCAGAATTCTATAGAACAAGACGCTGTAAGACCGACGCCAAGCGTCGCGACGCCAATCATCACGACGCCTCAAAATAGGACAATTACAACAGGTAATCTTCAGGATGCCACAGGAGACGCCACATGAAGACGATCCCGAGCAACGCAAAGCAAGTCGTTCGCGAAGAGACCAAAACACGACATGTAGAATACTGGTGAGACTCGGAATGCTTTGAACACAGTCTCAAACCGAAGCCGAGCGTGTCGACGTCCCAGTAAGTCACAATAATTAACACAAACCTTGGAATGTCATAGGACACGACGTTGAAAAAACGGGCGCCAATCACACTAGACAACAAATTTTAACGAGTTGTATATATCGGAAATGCAACTAATCAATTCTTATGTATTTTCGTCCGCTAAATTCGAAAATGACAATAAGAAAGCTTAGTTAGTTCGCGTTTTGAAGATATTTTGTACTTTGTAAAATATCACCAATAAATTCGTCCACATGATATGCAAATGTTTAAAAATTTTCGCCTACCTTATAGACGTTGTCTTTTGGCCTTTCTTTTGTATTTTACCTCAGGGGCATCTCTTACCACCGACCAGCAGTAATCAGCTATCATTGATCCTCCCTATTTCCCCTGATAACACCTTTCAAGAGTAGAAATATCTTGGTGAAATCGTTCGCCATGTTCATCACTAACCGAACTAAGATTATCAGGGAAAAAGTTCAAGTTAGAGTGGAGGAAATGCATTTTAAGAGACATTGCACCCCATTTTACTGTATGCTTTCAACAATTTTTATACTAATCCCCTATAATTTTTGTAAAGGAATCTGACGAACGCGATAACAGGATATTTTAACATTTCTTCAAGTACATTGTAATCCTGGGGTCTCGAGTTCGATTCCCGGCGGTGCCCGAATTTATAACTTGTGTTGGGCAAGGCCGTGGTCTAGGCAACACGGAGTTTTCCTCCGTGGCATCCCAACAATTACTCCATTCACACACAGAAGAAGGCAATGACAAACCACTTCTGGATCATCTGCCAAGAACGTATATGAACAGGTCCCAGTCCGAGAAAAGGATGGAAGGATTCTGTTCATATGGACCTGTCGTCAGACAGAACACTAAATAATAATAAATTCCATTGCCTAAGTGGCGATCCTAGCAACTCTGCCTTATACTTAGGCAAATCTAAATCTCTCACTAGATCATTCAGTTTACTTTGAGTTACTCTGTGAGATGTAGAAGGTAAAGTTTCTGGCACAAACTCTTTATCTTGAGATGCCGATGATCTAGGAATGGCGTCATTTGATGGCGGTGATGGTGAGAATTCTTCAGGTGTGTAGGAGATAGGAGGGACAGATACAGGTAGTTCATGGTTGTGGGGTATAGGACGAATGGCTGAGGGGATGTTTGGATAGATCAAAGCATGTTTTTTCTTATTGTTTATGCCGATGACAGGAGGAATCATACAGAAGTGGCAGTCGTTTACATGATTATGTGGTTCCCGCCACACCATGGGCACAGCGAAGGGCATAGACTGCATTTTTTCTTTTAACCATTCGCGTAGATTTGTAGAACACTTCAGACAGCAAATATGCCCTGTCCATGCCACCCACTTTGCAACCAAAATAAAGATGGTACGCTTTCTTATAGATGGGGGCCAAGTTTCGATTTGTGATTTAAAAGTCACTTCTCCACAGATATAACAAACGTTGTTAGGATTATTGACACATCTACGCGAAATTTTGTATGTTTTAGTGTTACAAATTTCTCATTTAAGTACTCACAACGACGTTTTTACTGTTTACTACATAAGTATTCTAAGACGAAGTGAAACACAAAATCCGCACTCCACAAAACACTTGTTTGCCAAACAGAACTGAAGAAATTTATTAATCATCCCTTAGGGATGTTGACTAGACCTGCAGAAAGAAATAAAACCTTCTCCACCCTTGTACAGGTTGTTTCTGAAGTAAGTAGTCCATTACAATTCTGAAAATTACGAAAATAGAGCGAAACAGCTTGGTATGAATATCTTCAAAATGAGAACCAATCATGCAAAATGAATATCATTTTCGTGTTTAGCAGCTCAAAATTAGTAAAAATTGGTTAGTTTCATCTCCGATATATTTTGGCTGTTGAACAGTGTCATCGGGACGCCCCCAAAATACGGCACACTTATGTATAGGAAACGACCCTGTAAAAGACGCCAATAGTCGTAAAAACGCCTAAAGGCGCCTATTATAGCGCAAGAGAGACTCGGGATGCCAGTGGCAACGTCATCAAAACGACGTCGAAAATCGAAACGCCCCGACACCGAATAAGAAATGTAAATAAAGCCAATAGAAGACATAATAAGATTACCGAAACCGACGTTGGCCGTCACGACGAATATAGAAGGTATAAGGTTCCGAAACCATACAATTCTAGAGAATAGACGACGAACGTTGCGACGAAAAATGTCTTGACGCCAAACCCTGAATCGTGGATAATTTTTATGATACTTAAAACGAAACATAACTTAACCTACCCTAACCTAACCGAACTAGACGTAACGTAAAGTACGTAACCTAGCATAGCGTAGCCTATTGTAACCTAACCCAATCCAACCTAACCTAACCTAACCTAGCCTAACCTTAATTCTTCTGACCTGTCCTCACCTTTCCAGTCCTGTTGAAACCTGTCCAATATTATCCAAACTTGTCGAAAATGTCCGAACTTGTCCAAACCCGTGCTAAAG